GAGAGAGAGAGAGAGAGAGAGAGAGCGAGAGAGAGAGAGCGCGCGAGAGAGCGAGAGAGGGAGAGAGAGAGGGGAGAGAGAGAGTGAATGGCAATAGTAAGCAGCATCGTTGGATGAGGCTGTGTAGTAGTAGCCTACCCTGTCAGGCACGTTGATGTAAGCACTCGCACCGATGAGAGCAGCAGCCACCGCGGTGTAGCCCTCCTTAGCAGTGATGAACAGGGCAGTGTGACCATCCTGTGAAACACAAACACTGTTATCTACACAGTCAGGGATTGTAGTAGATCCTGGTGCTGCCTCGACCTGCCTACTCAATCATGCATCGAGCCACTGATATCAGCACTTACCTAAGCAACCACCCCACTAATAGCAATGTGATTCATTTTTAAGACATTGTTTCTGACCGGTTTTTTTGTTTGTTATCCAAGCAAAGCTTGGTTGATCCACTGATAGCAGCTGGAATAAAACGAATAGTTCCGCTGAATTAATCAAGCCTCACCACGCCTCACACCCTCGTCACACTATATGTCATCTAACATCCCTCTACGCTATACATAGCATAGCATAGTAGATATATATATATATATGCTGTGTGTCGCGACGACTCGCGCTCACGCACTCTCACCTTGTCTACGGCGTTTACGTTGGGTGAATACTCCAGCAGAAGCTTGACTACATTCACGTAGTTTCCCTTCGTGGCAGCGATCAGAGGGGTCCACGAATTCTGCATGCGAGCATGTAGTTAGTTATTTTATAAACACGAAAAAATACAATGTAAACACGGCCTGAGAAACAGAGAGGGCAAGTCGATGCGAAATAGAGGATGCAAATGAGAAGAGGGAATGGAAAGAGAGAGAGAGAGAGCGAGAGAAAGAGAGAGAGAGAGAGAGAGAGAGAAAAAGATAGTGAGAGAGAGAGAGAGATAGTGAGTGAGAGAGAGAGAGAGAGAAAGAGATAGTGAGTAAGTGAGAGAGAGAGAGAGAGAGAGAGAGAGAGAGAGAGAGAGAAAAAGATAGTGAGAGAGAGAGA